ACACCAAATGTAGGAGATGACTGAACATCTGAAACAAAATAGCCCAAATCATCTACTAGGGAGGTTTGTTTGCATTAGAAAAGGATAATTTCTAGTTTGAAAGGTAGAAAGGCACAAGAGCGTGGGGTATTCACTCAAGTCTTAAAAAGGGAAGACTCTCTATGTATTCACAAAGATACATGGCAAGCATCACTTTTTTCCTGAAATCTGTTGGGCTAGAAAATGAATTTACTCTTCTCCTCTCTAATATGTGACACTAAAGAATCTTCAGATCAGAAAACTCATATTGAAAGAAAGAAAGAAAGAAAGAAAGAAAGAAAGAAAGAAAGAAAGGAGGGAGGGAAGAAGAGAGGGAGAGAAGTATGGAGGAAGGAAGGAAGAGAGAGGGAAAGAAAGAAAAGAAAAAAGGTAGAATGAAAGGAAGGAAAAGAAGAAAGAAAACTATTAAAAACAAACACACCTTCACCCCACTTCACCCTTCACTTCCAGTTGTTCTTCTGTTTGTCAGTTTCTCTTTTGGAATTTAGGCTCCAATCCAAACACATCACACCCAGTATGATTTGTTGAATGAGAAGAAGACCATCACTTCTCTTGTTCCAGATACTGTGTCTCTACTAATACAACCTGAGACCATGCTAGATTTTTGTGAACCACATTTCACAACCAACTTGTATTGAACTATAGTTAACTAACACTCCTAATCCATTTTCTGAATGCTATTCTGTAAGCCATTCTGTAACCAGTAGTTGGTCCGTTGTATTCAAGGACAGGGCCTTACATACATTTTAATAAAATTTCATTCTGAAAGATTTGTAGGATTTGTCCCAACCTTCTAGTCAAACTGAGATTTGTTTTGTTATTATGATTGTCTAATCCAATATAACGACTCTTTGCATTTTTTGTCTTCTGTTACCACACTCAGCATCCCATCAATAGGTTTAATTACATGATCCACAAGTCCAAATGTCACTTTTTTAGTAAGGTCTTCTCTTAATACTCTATTTAAAATTGACCCTCTCCTCAGTTCCAATACACTTCCTATACTCTTTCTCTGCCTTTTTTTCCTCCATTGCATGCATAATCATTTAATATACCATATATTCTACTCATTTTATTTATTATCTTTTTCGTCCTTTAGAATATAAACTCCATTAGGGTGGCAATTTGGGGCAGTTCTGTTCCATGGTGGATCCCATATTTGTTGTATGGTTGGGGTTGAAGACATCAGTGTCCTTGTCCAGGTCAGTGAGAATGCTGAACATGGACAAGACCAAGGCTAGAATCCAATGCATTCTACTAGAGGTTGCTATTGATCTTCGGGTCACTTACAAACCCACTTAATGGTATTGGCATCCAGCCCAACTTGTCTTTACTCTATCCCAGAAGGATATTGAGAATTTGTTACATTTTTTTGCAGAAAATCAGATATTTCATGTTGGTGGTAGCCCTCAGATCTATCAATCTGGAAGTTCTTTCCAAAAAAAAGGAAGTGCGATTCATCTGACACAACTGATCGCTTCCTCTTTCTAACTGCATACAAATCATCCTTTTGATGACCGATTTTAAACCCTGCTCAGGAAGGACAGGGCATTTATCAATGACCTGTCCAAAGTCCATGATTCCCTGGAAGGGAGGTCTTCCCAGGTGTGAGGTCCCTCCAGGCGAATGTCTCTTGGCTTATTCACAGTGGGCATGTGCTCCCTAGGAGTGGAAGTGTTCAAATGATGGAGGTGACACCACTGACCCACTGACCCATATCTTTAGATCCTGTTTGTTGTGCTGCATTGGAATATCTTATTTTTTTCCCTTAGTGTCAGATTTTTAGTCTATAAAGTAAAAATGGTTAATATGATTTTCAGAAATATAGTATGATACTTTATTGATTACTATTTATTTATACCCTTTTGGTTTCATGTGCAATTATGCAGACAAGAAAGATCTGAGGTTTGGGATATGTTTAATTTATTTCTATTGCTCTTTGATCTAAAGGATTTATATTTCTTGTCTCCATTTCCTTTTTTTTCCCATTCTTTCTGACACAACTGTGGTTGAGGGCCTTGTCATCTCAGCCCTGAATTATCACAATAGCTTTCTAATTGGCTCCAGGACTCCTGTCTCTTGCTTCTTCATCTTAGATTCTTCAGTCGGGCTAATTTCCTGGAACCCAGCTGTTCAAAATGCGGTCTATGGACCACAGCATCAGCATCTCCTAGGAGCTTGCTAGAAATGCAGATTATCAGGCCCTACTGAATGAGAAATTGCATGTCAACAAAACCTGTAGGTGACTCATACGTACATTGAAGTTTGAGAAGTACTATCTTCTTTTCTGTCATGCCCTTCTCCTGCCATTGGGCATCCATAAACTTCACATTGAACCGTCCCTAAACTAACTCTGTCAGAAAGGTTCCACCTAATTTTCAGGTGAGGTGTGTTGACATGAAGATGCTAATGCCCACCTATACGACCTACTCATTGGGTCTAAGAATGATGAGCAAATTTATTTACATAACTCTAGAGCAGTAATAAAGCAGTAGTAAATTACTGAGATTTAACTTGAGTTGAATCCTTCTGGTAAAAGTAAAGTATTTTAGGAGTGCCTGGGTGGCTCAGTTGGTTGAGCGTCCAACTTCGGCTCAGGTCATGATCTTGCAGTTCGTGAGTTTGAGCTCCGCGTCGGGCTCTGTGCTGACAGCTCAGAGCCTAGAGCCTGCTTCAGATTATGTGTCTCCCTCTCTCTCTGCCCCTTCCCTCTCATGCTCTGTCTCTCCTTGTCTCTTAAAAATGAATAAACATTAAAAAAAAAAAAGTAAAGTATTTTGATTTTTGATGAGTGAAAAGTAAGGAGTACTTGGGAAGCATATGGGACGGGTTGATTGGAAATGTTTTTCTTAGTTTGGCTCAGTGACAGGAATTTTAATATACTTAATTTGATCTTCACAATAATCCCACTTAGGTGGGTGTTATTATCCCCATTTTACATGTGAGGAAACTGAGAATCAAAAAGGTTAGGTTGTGCAGAACCACGGTATTGGTTAGAATTCAGGCTACAAACACCATAGTAACAAAGACATTTGGAAACTCAGTGGTTCAGACAAGTGGCTCTGTCCTGAGATGGACAGGTGATCCCAGGTGGGAAGCACTGATGCTTTGTGAGGTCACTCAGCTTCCTGCTCCCAAGTTGCTTCATCATCTCCCAGGATGTCCACCTCCATGTAGTTGAAGCCAGTTCCTGCCCTTGGGAACAGGAAAAGGGAAAGTGGAGAGCACACAATGATTTAATGAAAACATTAGTTTTCAAAACATTGGAAGTGTTACCTGTCACTTGTACTCACAGACTGTTAGTCAAAGCTTGATCACATGGTCACCCCCCCCCCCAGTTGCAAAAGTGGCAGAGAAGTGTTGAAACCTGGGGAGTTGTTAACCAAACAGAAGAAGAGGGGGTGGCTATTAGGGGAAAATTGGAGGTCTTATAATAGGCACCATGCTGATTAGGGGAAGAGCCTAGATTCAAACTCTATGACTACAACCTATGATCTTTCCACCACATTATACCACCAGAGTTGACAATCAGTAAATGTTTGCTGTATTGAGATAAATTGAGATATTACATTTAAGCCTTTTGGTGATTTGAAATTACTTCTTCCTTCTCTCTTGCCTCCCTGATTACCTAAGTGGCTCTGTGTCACACTATCCCTATCTTTGATGATGTTAATTTGTAAAGCAGGAAACTGGTCTTCATCTTCCTTCAAGAGAAATGTCATAGAAGTTCAGTGGAACCCTATGAAGTATGAGAATAGGTGTTAATGATAATACTTTTTTAATGACCAAATGACTATCCCTTTTATTTTTTATTATTTTTATTTTTTTTAACTTTATTTATTTATTTTGAGAGAGAAAGAGTGTGCAAGCAGGGGAGGGGGCCAAGAGAGAGGGAGACAGAATCCCAAGGAGGCTCTACATGTCAGCACAGGGCCTGACATAGAGCTCGATCCCACAAATGATGAGATCATGACCTGAGCCGAGATCATGATCTGAGACACTTGACTCACTGAGCCACACAGGCACCCCATGACTATCCCTTTTAAAGTAGGTATTTTGTTAGGAGAAAGCCATTGCTCAAAATATTTGTTGATATTTTGTGTTGGCTGGTATATCATTCAACTCTTGCTGCAGTGATGCTTCATGACAACACCACCAAAATCTCAGAGGCATAGAGTAATAAGCACTTAACTAATGTGTATGTGGTTCTCTTGGGGGTCAGCAATGTGGACTGGGTGTGGCTGGCCAGCACTGCATCAGGTGTCTCTCAACCTCCTTCTGAGATAGCCGGTTAGCTTGGACGTATTTTTCTCTCACAGTAGCAGAAGCATAAGAGAGCAAGGGGAGATATGTGAGGCTTCTCGAAGCCTAGGCAAAAAACCTGTTAGCCAAAGCAAGTCATATGGGCAAATCCTCAGTCCAGGGAAATACCTACACCTTAAGCAAGAGGAAATGTAGTTACAGGGCAAATGGCATGAATACAGAATTGGTAAAGAGCTGGGGCCAATAAAGCAAATTATCATGGCTTTGCTTTTACCAAGTTATTGTGAATATTTATAATGATAGTAAATCTTTATCTTTTAAGGGTAGCTTTGAATTTCTTTTTAGAAAAATAGCTAAATTTATGAATAAGATTAGAGAACCAGTCTAGGTTTATCTTTGGGCAAAAAGGTAGCTGTTAAAGCATGAGGCATAAAATAAGGAAACATTTCTAAAGGAACTGGTCAAGAATATGGCATTCAGGGGCAGAATAGTTGGGATAAATGTACAGCCTTCCAAAGTGATCAGCTGATTGAAGGAATAACACTGATTTGGTTCTAAAATAATTTTTTTAAATAAACTTTATGGCTTGTAGTCACATGTTACCACTTTGTCTCAAAGTGGGAAGGGGAGTGAACAGAGGTTCATCTCTGATATGATACCCCTTTGACTAACTCTGGGAAAATATGCTTTATGTGCAGATTCTCATTGCCAAGTCCCCTCTGGCTCCCTTCACCTCATTCGCTTATACCATCCAGAAGGAAGGCCTGGTTCTTCAAGGTAAGATCCTTGATTAAGCCATTTCTTTAAGCTGATTATGCTCACTGCTGCCTACCACTGGTGATAATTACTGCCATGCTCCTGATAGAAGCTGCTTCAGGGCAGAATCAAAGGCCAAGATGAATTCACCAATGATATTTATCCTGATGAGATCAAAAGAGGTTGATAATTGTGGCAAGAACATAGCAGAAGGTGGAGGTGAGGCTGAGGGAAAACTAGAGAATTTCCTAATAGAGTGAGGCAAAGAATGAGAGTTAAAGCACTAATCTAGGAACTGCCAAAAGCTGGTGCTCTTTGCAGACCCTGTGGAGTGAGGAACCAGACAATAAGCCTCTGATGAGAGTGTGGAGGACCCAGCATTGCCTCAGAGCCCTCTTGCTTACCAAACTGAAAAACCGTCTGGTCTGGCAGCCTGGGAGACACTTTGTCATGGCTCCTTGGCCACTACTTTCTCGGCCCCTTTCTGGTTACTCCATTTCTGTTCCCTTTACTCAAGTCCCGACTGGGGACCAGGCCTTGCTGACCTGTACCATGTGACGCGGGCCTAGGACTTAGAAGGAGCTGAGTTCTGGCTCACAATGGAGCGCCCCAAGGCCACAGCCTGGAGCTCACTGATGTACAGTGGTGGTCCCCAGATGCTGGGTCTTCTGGTGATTGCAGGTCTGTCCAGAAAATAATGAACATGAGAGGCAAACTCAAACACTGTTGAACTTAGCCCACAGGGCCAGTTGTCCAAAGCTGCTTTGTAGATTGAGAACGGTCTCCACCGAAGACTGAGGACACACATCTGCCCCCCACTGCCAGGCAGGAGGCAGGTCCACAGAATGCATAGGTGAACATCTATGCCAAAGCCCAGTGGAACATACTGTCATTGCTGTCTGTAGGAGGAATATCCACCCTTTAGGATTTTGTAAGTCGAGTACTTTCCCCAGGTTGATGAAACAGGGTGAGTCCTTAGAATATTTCCATGGAGACACATTGCATAGCAAAGATCTAGCAGGAATTTTGTGGGGCGGGCTGGAGGGCTCATGCTTTTGGACCAAGGAGCAGGCTGCAGCCTCCCCTTTCCTTCCCCTTCTAAAACGTCCGCTTCTTAATGGACCCGGAAAGCAGCTTGTTTGTTTGGTGCAGCTGAGCTCCACAGCAGGGACTCGGGTCCAGGGAAATTTGGGGTAAGAACTATTGACCTTTGGCTCTTAGCCTTTGACTTATGGTATCCAAGTTCCTTGGTAAATATTTTTTTTACAATTGCAAATATTGTTTTCTGACAAAGAAGCAGAGATTTTAAGACCAGATTAAGCAAAGCAAACAGCAGGCCCCTTTGTTACGTACTCTCTAAGGGTGTATAACTAATAAGCAATCAGAAAGCTGAACTCTTATTTACCCAGTACACAGTGTGGCTTTTGGCTCTTCGTTTTTAGAGGCTTTCTTAAAAGATTAGAAATCAACTAAATAGCAAATTTAAATGAAGATTTTAAGAAGTTCTATGGAAGATTACAAGGCAATGTCAGGAGGAAAAGAGGCAGTTTTGCCCAGATGGCTTGTATTCAGAGCCTTGATATCGTGCCTATATCTTGATCACTGGGCAGTTTGGTAAACAGCATCTCTAAGCCTGACCTAATTTGGATAATTTTTAGGATAATATTTGTGAGAACAAGATTCACAGAGTTGCTTCTGAGCCTCATTGCTAAGATCATGATTTTGACAGGAAATAGAAAGTTGTTTAGAGAGAGGCTAGAAATGAATTGGTAGAGGTTGAAAATTGGCAAAAAAAGACTATTAGAAAAAGTTGGAAAACAAAGGAGAAAGAAGGCTGACCTATAGCTATGTGTCCCAGAGAGAGAAAAATTAAGGGAAGAGTACGATGATGTAGGAACCCCAACCAATAAATAAAAATGTCTGGGAGACTTCAGTGCCTCCACTGGTTGCTTTTAAAGATTTTTCTCCATCCCCTGCCCCAGCTATGTCTCCCTCTCTGAGCTTTTCTGAGGCAGCAGAACCCTTCTGCCCTTAGCAGTAATGCCACTGAATACAGACCTCTGGGGACTCCCTCCCCAATAGCTATGTGCTCCCAAGGCATTGGGAACACAAGAAAGAGCTCTGGTCATGAGAAAACAATGCAGATCCCTCCTCTAGTGGAGAGACCCCCTTGGATTTCTGCTCTATCTCTGGTGTAATCTTGAGAAAATCTCTGGCACCCCAGTTTTGTCCGCTTAAAAATGACAATGTTGACCTTGATTCAGCACTTTGCAAACTGTGTTGCAACCCATTGGTGGGTCGTGAAATGAAATTAATGAGTCACAACCAGAATTTTTAAAAATGAAATAGAGGAGAATTTTAAAAATCACAGATTATATCACACATATTGCATTGTTTCATGGCATATTTCTTGGGTGACTGTGTGTGTGCATAATGAGTTTGTGTATGGAGGTTGCAGTGCAAAATATTTTTCTTCCTTGGAGTGTAGTCATCGGCCTGGGTGATCTCCACAGGCCTTAACCCTTCAGCTTATCTGATTCTCCTCGGTGATGGTGTACTTATCATCCCTTAGCTCAGTAGAGTTGTACCTTGAGATCTCCATACACCAGAACATGAAAGCTTATTTTTCCCCCTACTCTTACCAGATGACTGAACAAAAAAAAAAAAAAAAAAGGCACCTCCATAATTTCCCAGGTTTAAGGCAAAGCAACTTTTGATTCCTGGGTGGTAACCTTGGAAAGATACCTGCAGCCAAGGTCGAGAAGCTTTCCTCGTGTGAGAGGTTGCTCTGGCATGCTAGCCCCAGGTTGGCATGGAGGTTGGTTGGTACCTAGTGCAGGGGATTTGAGGGGCAATACAATCCATGTCTGAGAGACACAGAGACGGAGAGGGGGAAAGGCTGGAAGAGTGAGGGCAGCTCCTATGGTACCAACTAAAAAAGGCACTTGGGGCTGGACGTTCAGTATTTGTTATACAGAGGCAGCCTGGAGTGGTGGGAAGGAACAGTCCATACAGGCTGCCCTTTTTCAGGTGGAGGGGGCTGTCAGTGAATGTGGGAATGATCCCTCACTGCCTTTTATCCCATTAGCAAGTCCAAGATTCCTACCAGCCTGCTAACCAGGAGGTTTTATAATACCTGGAGAGCTCCTGTGTGCATGAGCAGAGGGAGGGAATAAAAGGTGAGGCCAGAATTCGATTTACTGGCTCCACAGGCCATTCCCCTTACCAGTTCCCAAGGATTAGGATGCTAAGAACAGCCGGCAACCGGGGGCCTTATACCCTTCCTGCCTTTTTGTTCCCTGGGATGGGAGGAACAATAAATCGGCAGGCTGGAGAGACTGAGGGGCCTGGTTAGAGATTTCTCAGGCTGCTTTTTGAAATACTTGAACGAGCCAGTCTGTGCTATTGTTGTAGTAAAATACAAAGCGGAACTATTCTCCTTTTGCAAAAAGAAAAAAAGAAAGAAAGAAAAGAAAAAGAAAAAAAAGAAAGAAAAGAAAAAGTAAAAGAAAACCCACCCTCCCAGCATCTTCAGGAGGCTGCCTGGCTCAGGCCATTACCATGGTAATACTGAGCTGTTTGCATCTTCTTTGTCTGTCCTGCACTTGTGGAGATCCTGGCCTCATGGTTGGGCTCAAGACCCTGGAAATAGTTGGCTTCAAAGGAGAGGGAGCTCACAGCCACCAGCTTCCTGATGGTTCAGACTCTGAGAGGGGCAGGTCCCAGCAGAGGGAGAGTCAGCCCTTTTGTGCAACTTAAGTGGGAAAGGTGGAGGGCGTGGGGGTGACTCCCATTAATGCTTTTCTCCTCTTGCCCTGAGTTCAACATGAAATGCCCGGCACCCACTGGGGGGAAGAGCTTAGAGTTTTGGCTGGCTCAGAGTAAGGCTAAGGGTGCCAGGGCCTAATGGAGAAAGGAAAGCAGGAGCTGGCTTTGGGAATCAGCCTTAATGGAGTGGACCCACAGAACCGCCTGGCTGCTGAAGGGAAAGGGGCATTTGCAGTGAACTCCAACCTGACCCATATTCTGCTCTGGTCATGTTCTTTGTTTCCCCAACAAGCCCCAAATGTTGTGCCCTGCAGATCACAGCTGGGACCCCTGGGCCTCTGTGTCAGGCCAGGACTAAAGATTAAGATCCTGTAATTGAAAACAGCCAGACTGTGTTGCTGATGCTGCGGGAGGCCTAGGAAAAACCCAAGGCTGGTTTCTCCCAGAGCCGCCTTGGCCTTTGTGAGGCTCAGGGCAGTGGAGGCCTGCCGACTTAGTAAGGAAGCCGGGCTGGCCTGGGAGAATGAAGAGGGGCTCCTTATTCACTCTTCCTTTGCCCTACTCTCTCCATTTCCTCAGGAATCTAGCCAGCATTTGAAAATCAAGTGCCAAGTTGTTAGGGACAGAAAATAATGCCTTAGTTTCTCAGTAGGGCAGAATTGTGGTTTTTATGTTGTTTTTTAAAAAATTAAAATGAGGTATGACAGGTTGAATTTGGATTCTGGTGCTATCTTCTGCTAGTTTAGTTCTGAATGAGCAGCATAAACCTTGGGATGGGGCTAAGGAATCTTAGGGGAGCCCAGGGCACCCTGAGATGGGTCCAGAGACAATTCTGCAAATGAAGCTAGTTTCCTGTTTTTCCAACCACCTACTTAGGGACTCAGAAGAAATCAGAAAACAATGAAACAATGATTTTTCTTAAGGGCTGGATAGCTATGTACCTCATCTTTCTTGTAAAATCAAGAATGTTTGTTTGATTGCCTTTTGAAGCTTATTGGGAGAGGCATTAATCTCCCCTATTTGTTCCCTTGTCACAAAATTGGGTTGGATTCTTCCACCCCATTTTCTTAGACCCTGAGCCAACTGGGTGATTTATTAAAAAATTCTTTTCCCCCAAATACCACCATCTACATTCATCAGATTTCAGTTTGAATTAATAACACATCTAAATGTTTTCTGCCTAGTGGACTCAAAGTGACCCAGAAGATTCTCAGTCTGTTTCCATCCAGGTATGGAGGTGTCTGCTTGGTAAA